GTCCAGCCACTTGTTAGACTGATGCTTAAGTTGGTTTAAGTTTCTTTACTGTATCTTGCTGTGACGTTCAGATAAAATACCACAAGGGATTTCTAAGCTGCCGATTAGTAAAGTTGTCGGACTCGTTATAGAGTTAAAGTATGAAAATGTATGCAGCAGAACCAGAGAATGTTTTTTTTTCATATTCCACCCATTCCTCGTCAAAACCAGGTCCTTAACATTACCCACAATGCAATTCAACCGCCGACACTTAAGTCAGAGGTTCAAGTGCTCGTAGTGGCTCTAACATAGGAGAAAAGAGAGTCGGCTACCGAGGTCTGGTGAACTCCCTTCTCACAGAAATATTTTTAATTTTCAAACTTGTAGTCTTCACGTCGACAAATATTAGAAGCAGTTGATCAGACCTTTCACTTCTGGAACTACTAAAAGGTTTTGACAATACAATTAAACTTTATTATGAGAGATGATCTGCTTCCTGTTTACGCCAGCACAAACACGCCCAGTGTACGTGAACAGTCATGTGAGAATGGTTTTCAAGTGTGAGATAATTTATTATTGTCTGGAGGCAAACACCATTTTAAAACAACAACATATTTATATGGGTGTAGCCATATAAGAGATTTGGGACCACAACCAAACAGTTTATTCTTTCTGACACTTTTTCAAACCTCAGCAAACTAACAGTCTGTTGATATGTGCACGGTTGATGTTATTTGTGAAGCAGCAGCTCTAATTCAGACTCAGTATGACTTGTTAATAACGTCTACAAATGGTGCCTTTCGTTTGCAATGAACTTTCATGTGTATAGCATCTGCAACAGGACTGATTCATTTTTCATGCCAGCCTCCCTGTTCTCCATGTTCAGCCATCATTGTAATTTAAGGTGAAGTCGGCCTACATCGTAATAATAATAAATCTGTTCCTCTGAATACCTCAGACAATAGCCGAGCCCTGGCCTTTAAGGAGTCGCGGTAGACGGGCCTTGAGTGTGCTGAGAGCTCTCTATTTTTAATTGGTCTTGAACACACCATTGTTACGGCACAAGAGATAGAGGGAGAGAGAGAGAGAGAGAGAGAGGAAGAGCGAGGACACCCTCGTGCATCACTAGCACATTAGCACAGCGCTAACACAGTGTCATTATAATTTGCTCTTAGTCTCGCTGGCTAATTAGTTTGTCATGGTGCAGCAGGTCCTGCACAGTATGTGGTCATTAGGCTGGGGGAGCATAGGAAGTGAATGACAATCGCTGTTCTCCTGTCATCTTTTGTTAGCAGCACGATGAGGTGGCACACTGTCACTTGAAATGTTGTAGTCTTATGTTTCATGGTGGTCAATAATGAGGGGACATTTTATTTTTTGTTGTGTTTGGGTTCACTGACCCAAAACAAGATGATTTGTAGGCTTCGAATTTGGTGACAAGAACTTCACAAATGCTGTGGAGCTGCAGCCTGTCTGACAGCCAGGAGGAAGTGTTCTAATATTTATACGTTTTTCTATCAAGTAGCTGCACTTAAACACGAACAGCCACCGCATTCGGTTTTATTAAACAGGAAGTGACTAGTCACCAAAGGCACCTGTTGTTTTATTAATATTTCATTAACGTGCTAGTAACAAATGTGCAAATGCTGCTTGAGGGAAGTGATTTTTTCATCTGTAATTACCAACAAAGAGCAGAGCTGTGCATAAATCTCCCGCGCACCACTGTCACAACGTGGCTATTTGAAATGAATAGTAAACAGCCTGTTTTAATCATAGTGGAAAGCAGCGGTGCAGCATCTTAGTCTTTGTAACATCAGCTACAACCGAACAATTCATCAACTGATTGTTTGTGCTGGTTCGCATTACATCAAAGGGTGGCTGATGTTTCCAAGGGGGGGGGGGACCAAGCTGCTCCGGGCACCTGAGCAGATGCTGAATGTTGGAGGGAGACCTTGGCCTGATTGAGGTCGAACAAGCAAGT